GGCAACTCTTGTGAAGTTTGCATGCTCATATTACAACAACACCAAAGACAAGAGACATAATGCCCCCCCACCCCCTGTACAAAGAAAATAAATAACTACACAAATAAATAAAAATAATTCCAAAACTCAAGGTCCTCAGTCGCAGTCATCAGATATCACCTCCCTTCATTTTAATCTCCACATCACCTATCAACCATTTGTGTGTCTGTTTTCTTCTACTTGATATTAAATAAGACCTCTTCAGGGACGCACTGGTGGCCTTGCTGTGAATGTTGATCCACGAGTTAATGATCCTTCCTCTCTCTTGTTTTATTTTCCTCGCTGTCCCTTCTGTTTACCTAATTGGCTGTACTTAATTATGTCGCACCAAATTAGCAATCCAGTTTGTTATTTAATAGAAAGAACCATTTCAAAATGGCTTCACATCTTTCTCAACTTCTGCCTATGTCTTCGTGATTTGGTGAGCACTACTCTAAAAGAGTGCCCCGTAGTGCCTGGGTAATTTCATCCCTTCACACTTAATAAGTAGAATGGTTGATTTAACAATAACTTTAAACCAGGGTGAGCAGCGTTTTTAAATAAGGTGCAATGAGATCAGCGGATAAAAGATTCGTGTGTGTCCTCCCCTGTGGCGGGCGGTGAGCTTTGGACCTTCAGTGGATATTTAGTGATCTAAACCATCTCTTAACAATGCCATGTAAGTACCCTCAAAAAGAAAACACAAAATAACTCCGGCTACACACACACACACACACGCACACACACACGCACGCATACACGCACACACATCACAGCTACATATTAAAACAATTCGGACATGTTGGCCGCTAGTTTCATGCCCAGTGCAAGTCTGGCATGAGGCGTGGTTTAAGTCCGCGCAGAGGTACACTAGACTGGATTTTGGTATGATCTTAAATGCATGCAGTTTGACGCAAATAAAAACTGCATTTTTGCACCATCGTGGCCATGGCAAGTATGTTTTTAAGGAATTGAAAACAGCTTCTTTGTGTGTATGATGTTGGCCAGGAGATGACAGATGTGGGTAGTGAGCACTTAGCGATGACCTTGCACCTTGATGGTTCATGTCTGTCATGGTGGATCTGTTTGTGACAGGTGGCACTGTATGGCTCCTCCTACAGCGGCACACCTGTTGGTCCTTATGTCATTAGTCGGTTTTTTGTTAAAAGGATTCCCTGCCCGACCACGCAGGTTCGGGTCATTGTTTCTGTTAGTGCTTCTGCCTGTGCCTGTGCCTGTGCCATGGGTTTCTGTTTGTTCCTTTGGCTTCTTGTTGTTTGCAGGATTTTGTTTGTTTCGGATTTAGTTTTTGCAGGGTTTGATTCATACATTTTGTTAAATCCACCCCTATCCTTCCTCCCTCCTGCCTGCTTTTTGGGGTCCTCCACCACCACGTTCATGACAACGTCTGTGTGTGAACCCCAATGAGATGAGTCTCATAAATCACCAGTCCAACAATTGTGATGGAAATCATCAGTTTTTCCAACTCTGAAAAGTTTTATCGACTCATAACATAAAGATAACCATTACCACAGTGACGGAAGGGATAAAGATTTCAGAATTGTTTTAAATTGTGGGGCTAAAATGCATGTATCATATTTTCTGTTTCAATACTTTCGTTCCCCTTAACAATGGTCTTCTGTGAAAAATAACACTATCCTATTTTTCATTTTCAATGTCTTCTAATTTGTACATCGGTTCCAGACATTAACTCCTGGAAATAAAGGCAGAGTCGTGAATTGTTTTCTCATATTCAAATGTTTTTCCATCGACAGCAAAAATAAAGCAACATCAGAAATAGTTTGCCTGCAATGACTTCAATTAAATTACATAAAAAATGAGACCAACTACAAACATGACGAAGATAAATCCAGACAAACCAATGATTAAAACATCAGCATGTCGCAGCTAGCTGTCTAAAATCTGTCTTGACTGTCCACTGTTCCACATGCTGACTGGAGTTGCACTTGAATCCGGTGCAACAGAGGATCCACGTTTCCACGTTGATGCATAATCAATACGACAGGTATTCTCAAACAGGGAGCTCACTGAAATGCGCTGCCTGACTGAGGCATGAAACACATTTCCTTTGATTGAGACTGTTGCCTTTTGAAAAGTGTATTTTGAGGACAAGAAAAAAAAAGGTCCTAAAGAGGGATTTTGCAATTGTGTTAAATTAGTCATTCATAGTAGTACATGATAAGGCGGTCCAGTGGTTAGTGCATCGACTTTACAGTGCAGAAGTGCCGGGTTCAATTCCAGCTCCGGCCTCCCTGTGTGGAGTTTGCATGTTCTCACCGGGCCTGCGTGGGTTTTCTCTGGGTACTCCGGTTTCATCCCACATTCCAAAAACATGCATGGCAGGCTGATTGAACACTCTAGATCAGGGGTGTCAAACGTACGGCCCGCGGGCCGGATCCGGCCCGCAAAGGACTTTAATCCGGCCCGCAAGATGATTATGTAAAGCAGTGGTGTCAAACATACGGTCCGCGGGCCGTTCAATCAGGCCCCACAGGATAATTTAAAAGTGAAGAAAATGCATAAAAGACACAGAATAAATATTTTTAATAAGGTGCAATTCATTGAGTATCCGCTAGGGGACACTGTTTTGATCAGAGAAGAAGACAACAGCAGCCTCAGTCCATCACTGAGACAGACCCATGACAGCAGACGCTATCAATAGCACTCTCACATTTACACATTTAATAGCACGCTCCTTAGTTTGTAAGGTGTAGGCAGGGATTACATTTAGATTTTATATGCACGTGTAAATGGTTTAAAACTTCCTTTCTTGATAAATCTCGTTTAATCTTAAAGTGCATTACTATATTTTTCAAAACCAATTACTTGTTAAAGTTTGTACAATCAGTGGGATCAGTTGCAATGCATATATGTGAATGATAAAAGTAAATTGCACATTCGTCAAAGGAAATGTAAGGTGCTTCATGAAATGTTTTGTAAAAGATATGTTCATT